TGATGTGACACCACTCACCTTCACTGAGGTGCACGACGGCCATGCCGACATCATGATCGACTTCACCAGGTGAAATGATGGCCTGGAACCCCTCTGGGAACAGCCCCAGCTGCCAGCAGCTGCTGACACTGCCCCCACCCACCCACCCGCAGGTACTGGCATGGGGACAACCTGCCATTTGATGGACCTGGGGGCATCCTGGCCCATGCCTTCTTCCCGAAGACCCACCGAGAAGGGGATGTCCACTTCGACTATGATGAGACCTGGACTATTGGGGACAACCAGGGTATGGGCTGGGGACCCATTTTCCAGATGGGGCAACTGAAGATCGTAGAGAAGGGAACTTGCCAAGGTCCCTGAGCTGGGGTCTGGAGCTTGGGTATTTGCTGCAGGAGGCTCGGGGATTGCTGGACTATTTCCCTTTTCCAGGCACAGACCTTCTGCAAGTGGCAGCCCACGAATTTGGCCATGTGCTCGGGTTACAGCACACAACGGCTGCTAAGGCCCTTATGTCCCCTTTCTACACCTTCCGCTACCCACTGAGCCTCAGCGCAGATGACCGCAGGGGCATCCAGCACCTATATGGCCGGCCCCAGCCAGACCCCACCTCCAGGCCCCCCACCGTGAGCCCCCAGGCCAGGGTGGACACCAACGAGATCGCACCGCTGGAGGTGAGGGGCAGGAGGGTGGGAAGACAGGAGGTGAGGCCCTGCCCCAGCTTCCTCCACCCCACTGGCCTCTATGGCTCCAATGTGGGCTCTTTCCTGGTCCCCCCTCCTCCCCGCCTCAGCCGGAAGCCATACCAGATGCTTGCAAGGTCTCCTTTGACGCAGTATCCACCATCCGTGGCGAGCTCTTCTTCTTCAAGGCAGGCTTTGTGTGGCGGCTTCGAGGGGGCCGGCTGCAGCCTGGCTACCCTGCTCAGGCCTCTCGCCACTGGCAAGGACTGCCCAGTCCTGTGGACGCAGCCTTTGAGGATGCCCAGGGCCACATCTGGTTCTTTCAGGGTGAGTGGGGATTGGGGGCCATGCTCAGGAGATTTCCAGGTGCCAGGAATGTCACGGCCAAGAATAGGGACAGACAGACAATTATCACGGGCAGGTAGCAGGTGCCCTGAATTTTCGGGGCCAAAGGAGAGCAAGACTCGCTCCTCTGCGCACAGCTCAGGAGATTTCCGGAGGCAGAGGCGGAGGCTCTCAAGGTGGGAGTAGAATGGAAGGTTTTGCCCAATGAGCCACGCACTGGCCTCCAGCTCAGAGATGGTGAAATGACTCACCTGAGGGCACAGCTTGGAAAAGGCAGAGCAGGGATTTGATCTAGGTTTAGCGACCCCAGAGCCTATGCTGTTAACTTTCAACTGGCAGAGAAAAGAGTCTAGAGCATTCCAGGTAGCAGGGACTTCATAAACAAAGGTCTAGCCAGGACGTGCTGTGACAAGGTTAATGGCCAGTGGGTAGTGAGCAGCCAAATGCCAGGGGAAGGAACCAGGGCCCAGGTGCCTCTCTGCTGCTTAGAATAACCTTTCCCATGTGGAATGTCCCAGAGCCTGTGCCACCCCAGCTTATTCCTGCTGGCTCCAACGTCCCCTGGACTGGAGGTGCACCGCAGGACAATGAGACTGAGGCCAAGGAAGTCTGGGGTGGCGGCGGCAGCTGAGCAGGTCCACGGTGGCTGAGTGGGGCAGGTGCGCAGCTCCACTGTAGCCTCCCCTCTCCGCAGGGGCTCAGTACTGGGTGTATGATGGTGAGAAGCCAGTTCTAGGACCTGCACCCCTCTCTGAGCTGGGCCTGCTGGGGTCCCCCATCCACGCGGCCTTGGTCTGGGGCCCTGAGAAGAACAAGATCTACTTCTTCCGAGGCGGAGACTACTGGCGCTTCTACCCCAGCACCCGCCGTGTGGACAGCCCTGTGCCCCGCCGGGCCACCGACTGGCGAGGCGTACCCTCTGAGATCGACGCTGCCTTCCAGGATGCTGATGGTGTGTTGGGGACAGGGTGGCTAGTGGAAGTGGTATAGTAGCTGCGTCTCTCACCCTGTGGTGGCTGGGGATCAGCTTTTCATCACAGATCCTTTGTGCAGCACCGTCCCCCCACCAGGGCAGTGCTCCGCCTTCATACTGCAGGTTAGACGAGGGGCCAGAGAGGTGCAAGGACCTGCCCAGGTACCTTAGTCACGGCTGGTATTAATAACCACTACACACTGAGGAGTGGCAATGCTCCGGGCACCTAAGTTCCCTAAATGTCTCATGCAATTCTCAGGTGTAGCACCCGTTAGGAACCCAGTTTCTAGAAGAGCAAACAGAGGTTCAGGTAATGAGGTTCTCTAACCGGAGCCACCCAGGTGGACAGTGGGCAGCTACGACCACCACCCAGGCAGTCCGTGCCCCCAACCATTGAACCACCTGGCCTCCTGTAATCTCCAAGGACTAAATTGGGACTCACAGTCCAGTGCTCTCTCTCTTGCCCCGCCCCCCCTTGCTTCTGTGCTCTCCCACAGTGGGACCTTCTGGGAGAGCTGTCCTATGGTGGCCTTGGGCTCTGGGACTCCAGGTTGCCTGCATCACCCACACAATTCAAGATACCCATATGTATCTGGCTGGTGGGTACAGGAGTAGAGTGATGTGGAGGGAGGGTCGGTGAGGGGAGTGGGGCTTGCTTCCCTGACAGGTAGGAATTGGGCCTCTGACGCACTCAGCATCTGCCAGTCTGGGTGGTAGCCCAGGCCAGGTTCTGAGCAGGCTAAACAGCTCCCCAAGAGAAAGAAGGTTCTGGAGGTCCTGCACGTTTCAAGAACTCAGCAGTGGCCAAGGCACACCCACCTTAGCCTCCCCTGTGTCCATCCCTTGGCACACCCGGACGGCAGGTATGAGGCCCAGTGTCCACTTGCCCAGGTCTGACTCTCCTCTCTCCTCAGGTTACGCCTATTTCCTGCGTGGCCGCCTCTACTGGAAGTTTGACCCTGTGAAGGTGAAGGCCCTGGAGGGCTTTCCCCGTCTTGTGGGCCCCGACTTCTTTGGCTGTACAGAACCTGCCAACACTTTCCGTTAACCATGGTTTGGGTGCCCTCAGAGCCCCTGACCCCTGCCAGGCCACTGACATCACCTAGAGACCTGTGGCTATGGGCATCTTTGTGGCTATGGGCAGCAGGCATGGGGCAGAACCTATGTCTCCTCAGAGGAGTGGGGAGGGGGGTCCTGGCACCATGACAACTGCAGGGAAGGCCACGCAGGTCGTGGTCACCTGCCAGCAACTGTCTCAGAGCGTGCAGGGGGGCTTTGGTATTAAGTGCGAGGGTTGTCTGGGGCCTGCTCTACCCTACCTGTGCAGGTAATGGTCAAACCTGGCTGTCCTCGCTCTCTATCCCTGTCCCTCAGGAAAGGACCTCAGCAGGTTTAGGGGAGCTGGAGCCCTTGCTCTGTCCCTCAGGAAAGGACCTCAGCAGGTTTAGGGGAGCTGGAGCCCTTGCTCTGTCCCTGCTGCGAGGTTCCTGCAGGGTGCTGACACATGGATCCTGGGGCCCCGTGGCCTTCTGCCCTTTCCTGAGAAGTCAGTTTTGGGTAGATGCTTGGAACTGGCTGCCTTCCAATTGGTGATCCTGGAGATCTGTTCCCCAAGATCCAGGCCAAACGGTGCAGAGTCAGCTGGGGAGGAGGTTGCTTCCAGCTGAAGACCTAGGGCCCTGGAGGCCCCAACATACCTCAGTCCTGTCCTAAGCCAGATCCACCCTAGCCCCCTCATCCTAGCACTGAGACCCTCCAAAACCATGTAAATGTGTGTACAAAGCCTTTTTTTTTTTTTTTTTTCTACTGAGGACTGTCATTAAACACGGTCACGGTCATTTTCTACCTGCCTGACTGGAGTTTCTCTGTGACTGGGAGGCCAGGATGGGGAAAGAGATGGGGCAAGGAGGCGGGAGGTCTGGCTTGGGACCTGCTCTGTCCTGGGAGCCAGGGTGGCAGCCCCCTGCCCCCACCTCAAGCCTATGGTGTTTGGGGCTAGATGCAATGTGTACGGCCCTTCTTGCTCCATTCCTCCATCTCATCTCACTGGACACCTGCAGTGGCTTTGTAATTTGTTTCCTGTTTCCCCCAGTGCCCCTCAGATCATCCTTCACCAAGCTGTGGTCACTTTATCTGACCCACACCCCGGCCCCATCCCACCATTGTCAGGACACAGAACAAAACTCATGGTACCGTGGCTGGCCCCTCCTAACTCTTCGGTGTCTCCTGGCGGGCTACCTAGCCCCACACGTAACACCTTCATAGTAACATCTATCATAGCTGCAATTTTTATTAGACTGAGGCAAACGAAATAGTCAGCAGCGGGCTGTTTTTGACATACTGCTTTGCTCAACTGGATACATGGGGGCTTTGATGCTTTCATTTTTAGTCCCCAAACCCAACTGTAAGTGCATAGGGCAGGGCTGTCTAGTTTCACCAAAGGGATCAGCTTGTTATTGGGCACAAAGCACAAAGTTAGGAATGGAGAAGGTTCCCTCCCCTCCAGCACTCAGCTGATGCACCAGCCAAACCAAATACCACCTGGGCCTTGGAATCTTGCCAAGCCAGGGAGCCTTTGCCTACGCCAGCACCACTCAGTGTTGTCATTCCGCTCAGTCCCACAGCCGCAGGAACAGCTGTGGGCCTGGAACTGGGATATCTGTTCCTAAGAGCCATCTTATCTGCTCAGCTGCACTGTTTTCCGGGTGGGGAAATCGAGGCACAGGTACTTCTGGCCTCCTCTCAGCGTTCAGGCCTCACTTCCTTTCTCCTCCACTGGGTAGAGTTTCAGTCCCAGCTGTGAGAGTGGGACAGCAGCAGCCTGAGTCAAGACCTTAGTTGCTATTTACATCCGCGAGAACTTTCCTCAGTACCTCGATCTGGGAGGCAGCTTGTTAAGAGAAACGGGTCTGGGTTCCTTTAAGAGATCCGCGGGGGCGCGCTCCAACCTTTTGTTTGGGCGGCGGCAGCGCGCGCGTTAGCGTCAACGCCCGCGCATGCGTATTGAGAGCGGCCTGGTCGTCGACTGCGGCGGAGGCTGAGGTACCCGGCGGCGGCGGCGCGAGCGCCCGGCCAGGCCCGGCCCGCCCTTTGCTTCCCGTCTTCGGCTCCCCTCGACTCGGTGCTCCTCAGCCCCGCTTCAGCCCTCCCGATCCTTCGCATCTCGGCTTTTGCCGCTCGCCTCCACCGCCGCAATGATGATGATGGCGCTGAGCAAGACCTTCGGGCAGAAGCCCGTCAAGTTCCAGCTGGAGGACGACGGCGAGTTCTACATGATCGGCTCTGAGGTACCGCGCAGCGCGTCCTCGCCCTTCCAGTCTACGGCCCCGCGGGAGCCTCAGGGCGGGTCTGCGCGCCGGGAACGCGCGTCTCCATTCATCGCGGCGGGCGCGCGCGCGAGCACGCGCGGCGGGGGCGGGACCTAATGGGGGCGGGTCCCGCGGGCGGGGCCTCCTCGGCCCCGCCCCGCGTACTTCTGCGATCCGGGGTTTACCTTCCCGTTTCTTGGTGGTCGGGGGCGCACCCTGCCGCCCAGGCTAGTACTCCCCGAGAGGCCACTGGTTTTCCTGAGTACAAACTCAGGCAGACGCAAAGGAACTGGGTGTTTTGGTTACGGCTGCGACTCTTGGGGGAAGACTGGAAATCTCACATGCACCCCTTCCCCGTTGCTATATATGGAATCCTGAACTGGCAGGTTGTGAAGAGGGACGTAGTGAGGGCTCATCCCCGTGTTTGTTGCCTTTGAGGTGGTCAGGGAGGTGTTTTGACCTTTGTTTACGAGGGAGGAAATAGGTTGGGGGAAGGATGCTTGCTTTTGGGTGGAGAAGAACATCCTATTTCCTTTGGGTGAGTAAGGCGCCAGTCCCTGAGCTAGATCCATCAGCAATTCAGAGCAGGCGATACTCTGGATATCTTGAACTGACCTAATTATAACAGGGGAAAGATCCTAAAGACCTTTAGTTTCTACTAGAAGTGACAGTACTTTGTTGAATCATCTGGACTGCTGACTTTAGGAAAACTCTATGGTTCCTCAGTGGTAGTTTGTACAAAGTATATTAAACTTTTCCTGATTGTCTCAGACTAACCCTTTTTGGTTGAAAGGCAGTCCCCAGATAGTGTATATCCCTTTTAAAAAAAATCATGGCTATGCAATTCGGATGTGCATATACCAAGCAGTAGAGTCTCATGTAACGGAGGTAAGTGCTAATCTTGAGCTAAAGCAGTTACAAAATGCCAAGGGTTGCCTCTCCTTGTAGCAGTTTTCAGTATCAGATGCCAGCACTTCATTCCTGTTTTTACAATTTTTGTTGTTTTTCTTTCTAATTGAATATAAATTAAGCCTCGTGATGGTCACCGGAGGCTTTCAGAATACCCTATGATTCCTGGCTTATTTTAGTTGTATCAAATAATGACACCGATGTTGTCAGCATCAGAACTTTAGTGTTACCAATTTCCACCAACTTTTATAAAATAAAAAGGGCATGATGCAATACATTTTTCACATTATCACTTAAATGCCACTCTTCAAAGATGGTTGTGCTGGGGAAATGGAGCCAGTTAAGTACAGAATTCAAAAGGTAGTTGAGGAGTTTCAGTATGCGATAATGGGCAGGTTGTTTAACAAAACCTTTACCTGATCCAGTGAGCAGAAAAAGTAATCAGTTTGGCCTTGACTCTGAGTGGGTGGTACTTTAGAAAAGTAAGCATTCATTTATTAGGTGGAGCAAACAAGAAGGAGCTTGCAGCCAGGTGGGAAGAACATCAGGAGGCCTAGTCCCAGCTCTGCTCTGCTTCTGTCACTTTTCTCATGTTTACAGTGAGATGCTTAGACTACATGGTCTCTAAGATCTTTTTTGTAACACATTTTACTTTATGGAAAGTTAACTGCAGTCTTCTCTTTCAACCCTGTTGAGTGAGAACCTTGTCCTGAGACCCAGTCAGTAGAGACCCAGGTGGAAGAAGGAAGAGGCAGGTTGCTTTCTGGGGCCTAGCTTAACAATCGTCAGACCTTTGGAGGTCTGGGGAAGATTCAAGGTCAGAATACTTTCTATTGATATCTTGTAGCTCCTGTGACAGCATTGGGTGGTTGGCCCTGAGGCCCCTTTCCCTTGGGAAACAAGCACCATATTCAGAGAGGTGGGCCGGCAGTAGCATCACACCTGACATCGTCATGCTATGTCCATGCAGTGTCCTTGGGACAGCATCTGCAGTTGTTGTGAGTGTCACTGTTCTACCACCTGCAGGCACCTCTGTTCACCAAGTCAAAGTTGCAAACCTGAGAGGACTCTAGGAAACCCCCAAGTCCATATTTCACTTTATATTTGGAAAATCATATCCAGCAGACAAAGTTTGGTTCAGGAAAAACCCAGAAAGGCAAGCCCTGGTCTCCTATGCTCTAAAGGGGACTTCACAAAGATCTAGGAGTCCTGAAGCTCTGCAGGACCTGCAAAGTGGTAGTGGAGGGTGTTATCGTCGATGTCTTTTCAGATACCTAATGGAAACTGTGTTTACCCTTGGATGGTAATAACGCTCAAGCCAAATGATGCACAGGAGTCTGTGCCTACTGTGTGGTGCCTGAGTGACGTGCTGTGACCACCTACTTTCATGCTGTCCAGCAGCTCTGGTTGTCCATCAGAGAAATCTTTGATTCATGAAAAATGGAGAAACATTTATTTAATAAATATACTATGATGGGTAGGTAAATGGGAAAATAATAGAAATGGTCCTTTTTGGGGTACAGAGTTGCTGAGCATTTGACAGATGTACGGAGACCCAAAAAGGGAACATGATTCTTCATCGCAAGTGGAGACAGCACCTGGCACCCAATCCACTGGCCATCTCCTGCCATGTGATTCAAGTGATCATTTTGGAAAAGTCAGCAAGACTTTTATAAAGTTTCTTTATAAAAACTTTAGGACTAGATTTTTTCTTTTCATTAAGGAAGTCATCCTTTGAGTATTTGGTGCAAGCAAACTGAAGCTATTGTTTGGGGAAGTAATGATTTATATAGCAATCTGGTGATTGCCGATAAGTGCTTTTTAAACTCTTTGGAAAATTCCTTTGGTATTCCTGGTTTGAATTTTGTTACTAAACAAAGCAACAGGGGTCATGGGGGAAATTATCGTGCATCTGTCTAAAATTAAGAGACCTTTCTGGTGTTTATTACATCATAAAAATATCAAAGTCTTATTTTTAAGATAAAAGAAAGTCAAAGAGGCCTTACATTTCTGGAAAGTGCCAGAAAGCCTTAGTCCAAAATCAAAATCATTGCAAGATTCTCCATGAGCTCCGGGGGCTTCTTGGTGAGCTCTGGGGGCCTGCCTCACAAGCTTTGGTCCTGTCGTCAGAATGTAGATGTTATTATCCCTGCCTGGAGGGGCAGATGTGGGCCAGATGTGCACTGTTGTTGAACCCTTGATGTCAGCAGAATGTGTTTTTATTGCTGCCTGGTGCCTGATGGCCAGCTCAGGGCCTGTTTGTCCATCACTTGATCCAGTGGAGCCTCTGCGCCAGGATCCTCTCCTCTGCTTGGAGATGTGACCCTCATAATGAGCCTTCTTGCTTTACTCATAGGTGGGAAACTACCTCCGTATGTTCCGAGGTTCTCTGTACAAGAGATACCCCTCACTCTGGAGGCGACTAGCCACTGTGGAAGAGAGGAAGAAAATAGTTGCATCGTCACATGGTAAAAAAACAAAACCTAACACTAAGGGTGCGTCTTCACGAGGGTTTGTAAACCTGTTTCAAAACCACTCGCTTATGTCATGAAGATAAAACGTTTTCACTCCAGAGTGTCTTCACTGCAGCCCTGACCTTAGTGTGGCAGGAGCACCCTAGGGGCGGGGCACACGTGCACCTCGGGCAAGAAAGTGGCTCCAGGGAGCCAGTGGAGGTCCTTCATCAGGTATTTTTAATGGGTCCAGAGGGTGTGTGCGGGGGAGTGGGGCTGGGACAGTAGCGGGTGCTGTGAAGACATGTTGGTCTCAAAACGTTTTAGGAATGCTGTGATGCTCTGCCATCTGCCGTGGCGTATCGCCATAGTCACCCTTCATGCAGCCCGAGCGGCGGGTGGCGACCCCAGCTCCCACTCCCCTCTGGGGCTTTCACCGCTTTGCTTCCCAGAGCACATCCATCTTGTAGCACTTCATTCTGGCAGCCAGTGTGCTAGAGCTCATGTGCATGTCCCTGCTTGTTGTGCCTGAGGTGTGCCTGGGGCTTGCTAGGCGAGCCGCTCAACACTAGTGACAGCAGAGACACTAGTGTGATTCAGCCGTGGCAGCTCTGTGCAGGGCGAAAGGATGCTCTTCGGATCTATCATGAAAGTCTCACGGTCCTTCTGGGTTTGGACACAGCACAGTGTTTAGCAGATGGTGAAACTGCTTTCCACTTAGCAATGGCGCCTTATAGAGAGCTGCGTGTGTGTGTTTGTGTGCATGTTGTACATGTGAGAGACAGACGGGGAGAGAGAGAAGAGAGAGAGAGAGCGAGCGAGCTTTGTAGTCTGTCTTGTCCTCTTTGGTTGTGTCTGTAGGTGCTGCTATGGTCTTGTGGGCAAAGTAGTAGTTCTTTTAATGCAGGAGCCGGAGCTTCTTTTTTATCTGCTGCTATAATATTTCCACTCACTCACTTGAAAAAGTCTCCTTTTTGTCCTCCCTCCTCCTCCCAGTGGAGCACCAGTCACTAACGCAGTGAGTTCCCAGCTTTGCTTTCCCCTCTGCAAGTCTCAAAAGACGTCTCGGTGACTCTTCCGCCTTGTGCTTTGGAGACACCTGCCCCGTAACTGGTTTGTTTTTCCAGGAGAAGCCAGGCTGGACCTGCAGACAGGTAGCAGCTCTTGACCAAGGTTCCCTGGAAGAGCTATGGGTTGCCTGGAATCTGTCCTGCTTCCCAAACAGTGTTGACTGGCACAGGGCCAAGAGTTTGTGTCCGATGTGAAGCAGCTCTTTCCACCTCTCTGGGCTCTTGTTTTAAAAGAAAAGTGTTTTTCATCTTTCATTCCATCTCTCCACTTTGCTTCGTGTTGTGGATTGCAGTGGTGTCAGACCTCTTCCCACTGGTGGTATTATTCTGGAGCCTTCCTTTTCTCCTGAGAGCCCCTGTTGGCTGTGCTGCGCTGTCCCTGCTGCCGCTGCCCTGTGCACTTCCTCTGTGCCTGGAGCCAGTGCTCCTGGGACAAATTAGTCCAAGGACATCCTCAGAGAGTCTTTACCCAGTAGGACCTCTCGATAAAGCGCTCAGTCCAGATTGCCCTTTTGGAAGAGGCCAGCATTCAGCAGTAGTGAGGTAGACACCTGCTTTTCCCACCTCCTGCATGTGAGGACCTTGATGTGCTGCATCTACTGGCTACTGTTGCTCGCTGCCCCACCGGCAGGGTGACCATAGCCGTGTCTCTGGTTACAGATCACGGATACACAACTCTGGCCACTAGCGTGACTCTGTTAAAAGCCTCAGAGGTGGAAGAGATTCTGGATGGCAATGACGAGAAGTACAAGGCCGTGTCCATCAGCACGGAGCCCCCCACCTACCTCAGGTAACACACCCCTGGCCAGGCGTGCTCTTGGGACACCCGCAGATATTTTTCTCACACTCTAGAACTGGCTGGAGTTAAGTCAAACTGAAACACTTTTCAGCACTTTTCAACACTTTACTCATGGGGCTTACAAATCATCCCAGTTGGATTTTAAGTTTCTTCTGTATCTTTGAAATTTCTAAGAAACCTAAGCCAAGTCTTGAATTCTGCAGACTGGTTAAGATAGACTGCTTTGAAAGTAGGATTAATCTGTCAGAAAAATTAGTGATCCAGATAAAGTCACAAAAGAAACAAACAATAGATTTGAATGTATAAATTCAGAACCTTTAAAGAAGTGTTTACCTTAACAATTAAACAGGCAAGTAATTGGAAAGGTGTTATGTTGTAGAAAGAGTCTGTTTATTCAGATTTATAAGGAAAACTTGAATATCCCAATAGATAAATAGATAAAGGGTGGTCCACATCGGAAGTACAGATAGTAAACACAAGGAACGATGTTTGCTCTCATGTGTAATTTAAAAAATTCAAAGTAAAATAAAATAGCAACATAAAGAATTGGGGCCTGCATGGCAGAGGGGCCCTTGCAGAGGCTGCAGTGGCTTGTCGGTGGGCACGATCTCTTTGTACAGCATTATGACATCAAACCTTTTTTTTGTTCTTTGGTCCAGTAATTTCACCCCTGGGAATTTGTCCCAGAGAAATAATGTAAAAGAACACCACCACCAACAAAAACCATTATGTATACAGAGATGCCCTTGGGAGTATTGTGAATAATAATGGGAAACATTAGCCATGTGAGTGTCCAGGCTTAGGGAGAGGCTGGGTGAGTGAAGGTGCACTCACTGGTACGGACTAGGACGTACCCTGTACGTTGTAATTAAGTAGACTCTGTAGCAACTGAAAACATGGTTCACATGCATGCGATATGTGGAATAACTACCTTATGCTTTCAGTTCTCAAGAAAACATGCATCCCCGTGCACCAAACCCTGGGAGCACTAAGTGGGGTGGAGAGTGCTATCGTTGAGAGTGATGTGGTTCTGAAAAATCATTTCTTTTCAGATTTTTCTCTTAACTTTACTATTGGATTGTTTATATCTCTCTCCCCTCTACCATCCCCCAGCCCCGCCCCCCCAAAAAAGGTGGCACACATCCAGCCTGGCCCGTGTTATAGATGTGTGCTCTACAGATTTCTTTTTCCCCAAGGGATGTGGTAAAACACAAGGATGGCGAGACTTACTCAGGGAAGTGGCAGAAGGAAATTAGGTACATATGGATGGGACTTTCAAGTCTGCACACGTCAGCTGGGAACCTTTTATGGGGTGATAAACACTTTCTTAATGATTGTGTCATTTGAGGAACAGCTGAGAGGGAAATAGAGTCTTGTTACCCCAGAGGTCAGAACTCTGGGGTGGGGGTGGGGTGGGTAAAAGTTCCAGGGAATCTGCTTTGCTTTTGGATGGGTTTTATGCTCAGGAGGCACCTCCTGGCTGTCCACTCAGCCCCACGGCAAGACTGGCACCTCCCCTCCCCCTCCCCAAGCAGGCCAGGCAGAGGCTGGCTGCCTCCTCTCAAGCAGACCTCCTGGTACTGGAAGAAGGTTGAATTACATGACTCATATCCTTGGGTTCTGTGCATGGCTGTGCATTCATGCTCACTGTGTCTGTGACATGACTTGGTAGAACAGCCCAGACTAGAAATGAGTGAGATTGCTACTGGCTTAGGGTAGGATTCTTTTTTTTTTTGGTGAGGGGGAACCTCATTGAAGCTTTAGGACACTCCCAAAAGAGGTGGTGTGCTAGACCCAAGGTTCCTAAGTATAAGCCCAGTGGCACTGGCTTTGCCATGGAAGTTGGTAAGAATCCATTTTCCCAGGCCCTTCCCAGATGGGAGTCGCTTGATCTGGACAGAGCTCAGGAGTGTGCTACTTAAAAGTTGGTGCTCTTAAGTGAGCCTGTGGCCAGCGGGCCCCGATAGGCTGTGGTGGAGATCCAGTCTTGCTGCCCAGCACTAAGCCCTGCCCAGATTAGTTCCATGTTTCCCGTTTTCCCAGGTCTTTGCTGTTCATAAGATTTAAGCAAGACCTGGGTACGTGAGGCTTGACAGAGTCCTGGCCAAATTTGGTGCTGTGAGTTCCTCTCTGACCCCGCCCTCAATCAAGGGATGCTCCTGGATTTCAGCACCGGACGGGCAAGTGGCCCCAGCTTTAGGAGAGAGGAGTTAAAGGGCCTGGGCCCAGGCAGGTTGTGGCCACTACTTCTGTCCTCCACCACCTGTGAAAAGGGGAGGGGCTGCGTCTCCTTGCCCTCCCGAGAGGGCACTCGCTAAGCAGTAGGAAACGTGGTGGTTTCACATTCTCTGAGTCGCAGCGAACAGTTATTGAAGAGGACCGGTGCATGTGCATATAGGTGAGTCATGCAGTCACTGCCCTCACACTGCTCGTAGCCTCACTGGGGAAAGCAGCACCAAGGATGGTAAAGCGACTCAGGGCACAGTGGGAACACGAGCGCTCATATGGCAAACCCAACACTGGCGCCTCATTTTAAAATAGCTCCTGGTGTTTTCCTGGTAGTAAAAGCAATCTGCAGTTTGGAGAGAATAGTGAGCCTTGTATGGGACATAGTCTACTTAAATTATTTTGAGTGTTGTTTTCTAGGCCATATTTACCAATACTATGTCTTCTCGCCTCTGCTGGTTGGGAAGTCTAGAGACCAGCAGTGTTGCCTAGGCCATCTCAGGCTGGCCTGCATGTCTAAAACAAATAGTTCGATCATGCCTGTTCCTGCTACAAACCCCTGGGGACTCCCAGCCATCTGCTGAGTACAGTTTCTCATGGAACACGCCAGCCCCTGTAGTTGAGGCCCTCTCTGTGTCCCATGTTTCCAGCCCCTGCTGGGTCTATAACCTACTGCCCCTTCCCTGCTGCTCCCTGTACTTCTGAAATGCCTTCTCCTCCCCAGTTGCCCCCGACCCCGGTGAACCCGAAGTTAGTGTTTAAGACTCCACTCCTCTGGGAAGCCTCCTCCTTGTGCTGTTTCCTGACAGAAGGGACAGTGCTTCTGTGGAGCCGTGCCCAGCACATAGAATGTGAACTTATGGCGTGTGCCCTGGGCTTGCGGCTGCTCTGACATGTTGGGGCCCCTTTGCACCCTTACCCTGGCTTGGGTACTTCCAAGCAGTTGCTGGTGGGAGCCTAGGGAAAAGAAACCTACAGAATCTGGGATACACAGAAGTTCCCACTGGGGCCTGGAGCTCAGCAGGGGTGCAGTGATTGTCTGCTGACCATGACTTGATACCTGCTGAGTGGGAGATTTCCCATGTTTTTCCAGGGAGCAGAAAGCAAAGAGGAACAATCAGTGGGTGCCCACCCTGCCCAATAGCTCCCACCATCTGGATGCTGTACCATGCTCCACGACCATCAACAGGAACCGCATGGGCCGGGACAAGAAGAGAACCTTCCCTCTCTGGTGAGCAGAACTTCCCCCCCTACGGATTCTGCCTTAGTGCTCAGATGCAGTTTAGTCTCCCCCTTCCCAGAAGAGCACTGTGCTTTGACCTTCTACTCCTGAAAATGCCGTGCTGCCTTCTCCGTGAAACTGTTTTCACTCAGCTTCCGGGACGTTGGTCTCTGGCTTGCTGCGGCCCCACAGCACTCTTTGTTTTAGTCTTGCCAGTCTCCTCATTCCCCCGGGATCTTGAGTAGAATTCCTGAGGACTCAGTCCTTGGACTTTTTCTCATGGTTTCAGATGCCACTCAAGTGACTCCTGCTGTATTAGTTCCCTGTGGCTGCTGGAACAAATTGCAACAAACTAGGTGGCTTAATACAATGCAAATTTATTCTCTCACAGTTTTGGAGGCTGGGAGTTTCATTGAGCCCAAGTCAAGGTGTTGGCTGGGCTGCACTTCTCTCTTCCTGCCTCTTCCAGCTTCTTTTGGCTGCTGGCATTCCTTGGCTTGTGGCCAAATCACCAGTCTTTGCTGCAGTGGTCACATGGCCTTCTCCTCTGTGTGTGAAATCTACCCCTGTCTGTCTGTTATAAGGACACTTGTGATGTAATCTAGGGCCAACTAGGATAATTCATCTCCTCTCAAGATCCTTAACTTAATTACCTCTGCAAAGTACCCCCTCCTTCTGCCGTATAAGGTAATGGTCAAGGTTCCAAGGATTAGGACATAGGTTTCTTTTGGGGGTTATATTTCAAGCTCCGATCCCCACATTCATCTCTACAGCCCAACCTCATTCACCTCTTGCCAATATCTGCATGGCTCACCCCTTTTCTTCCCTCCTCCATCCCTCTCTGCCTCCTTCCTCCTTCCTTTCCTCCCTACTTTTCCTTCCTTCCCATCTCTATTGTAATATCATTTTCTCAGGGCTGCCTTCCACCCTTAGAATGTCCACTCCTGCCCCTTCCCTCATCTGTGTTTCCCAGATCATCGGTATCTAGCATGTATGTGGTATGCTTTCCTTGTTTGTTGGTTGGTTGGTTGGTTGGTTGGTTTGTTACCCTTGCCCCAAGCTCTGAGAGCAGATGCCCTTAGATTTCCCATGACCTCCAGCATCCCCACATCTCTTCCCTCTTTGTCTTCCTAAAACCCAGATAAGACCATGTAAAACCCTTGCTCAGTCCTCCTGGAGTTCCCTCAGGGTAGAGGCTGGGTTCTGCAGCCCAGGGCGGAGAACCGTTGGCGCCTTGACCCTCTAGTTTCCCAGTGTCTCACATACTGCTCCCCCATCTAATCTGTACCCTGCCTTCAGTGTTTTGGCAGCTGCAGGCCCAGGAACTCCTTGCTTCTCCCTGTCCTTTGGCCCTTGCTCAAGTATTTCCTCTTTTGGAAATTCCTTTCCCACAGCTTTCTGTGAAAGTCCTTCCTGCTTTAGGCCTTAAATCTCCCTCTTTCAGAGTATGTCTCGGTCTTGCCCCACGGCTCTAGTTAGTATCTTTCTCTCCCTTTCTGGTGTGTCCATGAAGTGCGGGCCTCTGCCCCTGGGGCCTGTGGCCTGTGGCCCCCGCTTGCCTTGGCTCTGTTGACTCAGCCCTTAGCTGACAAGTGCCCATAAGAAGTGGGCTTCCCCCTTGGCCAAGTTTGCAGTGGTCCGTGGTACAGAGAGGGGGGTTTGGGGGGGACCCGTAGCACCCCTTGCTGCTGACTTTGCTGCCATTCACTTCCAGCTTTGATGACCATGACCCAGCAGTGATCCATGAGAATGCATCCCAGCCTGAGGTGCTGGTCCCCATTAGGCTGGATATGGAGATTGACGGGCAGAAGCTGAGGGATGCCTTTACCTGGAACATGAATGGTATGTGGGGCTCTGTACAGCCCAGACTAGCCGCCGTGTAAACACTCGCTGTTCCTGTCTGATGCCCATTGTGCAGGTTCTGAATTCTGAACATGACATTCAGAGCATTGTGCCATAGGTTAAGAGGGTATGGATTCTGGGCTCAAATCCTGCTTCTGTTACTGTTTCTTGTGGGCTGGGCACATGAACCTTGGGTTCCTTCCCCACTGTGAACATGGGTAGTTCAATGGCCTGGCATGAGGCCTGCCAGTTCAGAGCTCAGTGGTGATCTTGATGCTGCCGCCTGGTCCTCCACTTACCTCCCCTTCCGCCCTGTCCACTCCCCTGCTCTTTTAGATGCTGCGCATGCGCACTCATGCCTCTGTCCTCTCCTTGGCTGGGGGGACCTGCCCTCACCCTCTTCATTCTTTCCATCCTCACTCTTTAAGTCCTGGGTCAGATGTCAGCTCTTTCCTATTTCCTCTGGCTCCAAAAGCCTGAATGTAACTCTGTGCAAATGAAGACAAGGAAGGTCAGGAGGAGACATCCACCAGAGTGTTTAGAGCCCTTATCACACCTGGGAAGGAGGATTACACATATGTTAATTTTCTTCATTTTTTGTCCTCAATCTTTCAGACTTTTTACAATGAACATACTTATATTCAGACCAAAAAAACCCCAGTGAATGTTACTTTTAAATGAATAAAAGTTTAAAACGACCAGACTCTTACCACCCTAATGTTTTGTTTTGCATTTTTCAGTCACTTCCGTATGCAAGCCTACTTAACATAATTATAATTATAGTGCAAGTATAATTTTATTTTTCTTCACTTAAGTATCTTCCTGGTTTCTTTGATCTTCATAATTGGTGCAGAATTTCCTGTTACATTGCGGTGTCCTAATTTGTTAAAACTCCCCCTGCTATTAGATGTTTCCATGACAGATAACATATTAGCTTACAACATTTTTCTCCCAGAGTGGATTTCCTCAGGGAGGAACGTGTGCAGTTGTTGATATGCAATAGCTTTGAGCTTTCTGGAAGGATTAGGCTGCTTTTTTTGGTCATCCCCCAGCAAATGGCGTGCCCGGCCTGCCTCTGAGGGCCTCTGCCCAGACCTGGGAACAATGCCTGAGAGCTGGGGTGCTTGTTTTCCATAACCTATGGGCTAGCTGGCAAGAGAGGACATTGACAAAGAGATGACGTGGCCTAGGACACACAGGGTGGACATGAGTGGAGGGTTTCAGGAGGTTGTCATGAGTGTCGATGGGGGCAGGTGCAGTGGACGCCCCAACATGGGGATGGGGTAGCTCTTGGGTGCCAGGCTACCACCAGTCCTGTGCATCCCCTCTTACCTCAGCCAGCCTGTATTACAGTTGTTTGTTAATTCACCTCTCTCCCTCTCCATTTCAACCACTTGAGGTCAGGGACTTTATTTTTTATTTCTGTTTTTCTTAGAATATTAGCACAGGACTTGGCCAAGCATAGGAACTTAGTTCACTTTGAACCAGTACATGTATTGTTTTCTTTTCTTTCAACAATACATGAAAAGCTGTCACTATTTTTCTCTTGCCCAACCCTGTTTCAGGTGGGATGTAAGGCAACTTATATAAGGATGCTTGGTATAAAAAAAATAAAGCAAATGACAAAGGAGTAGTTAGAAAAAACTGGACAAAGGGGAAAATGAAACTAGAATGTATAAAATATAAAATTAAGCCAGTACTCTGGTTCATGCACATAACTCAGTAGGCAGGAGATGGCCATAGCTCTCAGCCTTTGAGAACCAGGCAGAGAGAGACATGGTGATCAGTTCTGCAGTTCTCACTGTAGTCAAGATTAGCAGCAGTCAGTGGCTCAGAAGAAGCAGAATCACTCATAATACTTAAATCCATGAGAACCTCTTTCCATGACCCTCGTGTATAATGTAATGGAGACCAGCATCTCTCTGTGAACTCCGCCATGGGCTTCTTCAGGACCTTATTTATAGAAGTCCTCATGCACCATCCCACTAAATATAATTTACTACAAACGCTTGAAGGACCAAAATTTTGTTTTTATGTGAACTCTTCCTCAATCCAGAGTAATATTTAGTGTACTTAAAGGCTATGATAATTTTTTTTCTCAAATTATAAGAGAAAGTTTATTTAGAAAGTTACAGAGGTATTAAAAGTGAGCTATAGAAGAAATGGGCTAAGTAAACAAGTTACAGAGACAAAGAAGGGCCCTTAGAGCTTAGGAAAGTACGCTCAAAAAGAAGATTTAACAGGGCGTGCTCGGGGTGGGTCGGGGAGAGAAGCGCCAGGGCTGTCATATTCTTAACTGGGGGTTAGGAGTGCACACCCCTGGCATGGTAGTTGAAAGAGCATTTTCAAAATTGCTGTTGATTTCCTGTTTGTTTTTTTTAATACTAAGGTGGTGTTTTTTTTTTTAATTTAAAAAACTTTTAAAATTTATTGATTCGAGAAAGAGAGAGGAAGGGGGTGGGGAGAGAGAGAGAGAACTATCAACTTGTTCCACCCATCAATGAATTCATTGGTTGCTTCTTGTATGTGCCCTAACCAAAGATCAAACCTGCAACCTTGGCATTTTGGGACAACGCTCTAACCAACTGAGCAACCTGGCCAGACCTGATTTCCTGTTTATTAAAATTCATATTTAACTTAATTTAAATTTCAAATAACCTTAGAGGTTATGAGAGTGTTTGTCACAAAGAGGTTAAAAATGTGAAGCAGCACTAGTTGAGCAGCATGAATGAACTGTATGTAGTTCAGGCCACTGTTTCTAACCAGGGTTTCTCTCCAACAAGCTTTTGGTAGATGTCGGTTAATGATGAATTTGAGGTTTTCTTCTCTGAGAAGGACTTGAAAGGAAGCTTGTCTGAGTTGCTGGTGAAATGGCATTCTCTGCTTCAACAGTCAGTCTCCTGAGACATTGTTAAAGTCCTTCAGAAAGGATAAGCTGCTGAACAAGAACACATCTCTACATAGATGCCGTCTTGGCCCTGAGGGGGACAAAGGAATCCTAGGGTAGTGCCATGAGCTGCCTCAGGAAAAGGCATGGAATCTGCTCCTGCACACAGGCCAGGAGTGATCAGGGCCCTGAAGGCTACACCACAGGGCGTGGCTACAGGAAGCAGTTTGTAGAGATTTGTTTTTACATGATCTCTTAAAAACTGCAAATGACAGATTCAGGAAGCTGAGTGAACCTTGACAGGATAAACCCAAAGACACCAACACCAAGACACATCATAATTAAACTTCTGAAAGCTAAACACAAAGAAAAAATTCTTGAGAGTAGCCAGAGAAAAATGACATCTCATCTATAGGGAAAGGCTTAGAATGACAGCAGATTTCTCATCACAAACGATGGCAGCTGTAGAAACTGGCACAATGTTTTTTTAAGTAGTGAAAAGACTGCCTATGGTTCACTCCAGAGGGGTATATGGTCATTAAGGTTTGGGTTATGAGAAAAGGGCAGAATGGGGAAAAAAAAAAACTACAACACAAAAAACTTGATTGCATAGCACGTTGCTCTAGTCTGGCCAGTCACAGATGGTCCCTGCAAGCTTACATATGGTGTGGTTGCATTTCCAGGATTCAGGATCTATACTTTTCAACTTGTTGAGAGCATATGCTGCCCACAGTCAGAAACTGAGGGGAGGTCTGTAAAAAGCCACAGGCAGCCTAATACTATCTCTGAGGGATCTTTCTACTGGTGAGGAAGAGGTGGATGGATATGCATCTGCTTTATCCTTCAGTGGGAACTGGTCTCAAAGTGGCATATCCAGAAGGAACCTGTGTTAGTTTGCTACGGCTGCCATAACAAAGTTCCACATATGGGGGCTTAAACAATAGAAATTTATATTCTCCCAGATCTGGAACCTATAAGTTTGAGATCAGGGTGTCGGCAGCATTGGTTTCCTTTGAGGCCTCTCTCCTTAGTGTGTTGATGGCTGTTTTCTCCCTGTGTCTTCATATGAGCTCACCTGGTTGCCAGTCTGAAGATGAGAGGAGATAGTAGATATGGTACATCAGCTCTGATGTGTCTTAGCTTTCCCTTCCCCCAAACAGCTCATTGGTTAGAACTAATCGAGTGGTATAGCAAGGTAATGGTGCCTGGGAGCGGGGAGAACCTGGTAAGGGGGAACGCTTAGGGCCTTGACCACCCCTAGGGGTGCGAAGGAGGAGGTATATGTGGAATGATGGCCAGAAGGAAGGTGTTCATCCTTTGCTTCTTTTCCTTGCCATGTCTGGAAGGGCCACCCTCTTTATCCTTATCTGTGCCTGAGAGGTTTGGCAGAGGAGGAAGGGGTAGAGGGAAGTCAGGGCTGAGCACTGTGAGATTAGGTCCTGTAATCCATCAGCAATCCCTGCCCTCTTGCCTGATTTCAGAGAAGCTGATGACCCCTGAGATGTTTTCAGAAATCCTCTGTGATGACCTAGATTTGAATCCACTGACATTTGTGCCAGCTATTGCCTCTGCCATCAGACAGCAGATTGAGTCCTACCCCACGGACAGTATCCTGGAAGACCAGTCAGACCAGCGTGTCATCATCAAGGTAGGCAGTTCCTCTCCATGTGCCAGGGCCTTCCTTGTCCTGGGGTGGGGGTCGTAGGACACTGAAGGTGCATAGAAGCCTGTGGAGTAGTGCTCCCAGAAAGCTTTCTTTGTTGTTCTTTTATTGTATTCTGTAAGTTCTGTCTTCTAGATATCAATCCCTTATCAAATACGTGATTTGCAAATATTTTCTCCCATTCTGTGGGTTGCCTTTTTATTTTTTTGGTAAAATCCTTTGATGCATGTAAGTTTAATTTTGATGAAGTCCAGTTTTCCTGTTTTTTCTTTTGGTGCCTGTGTCTTTGGTGTCATATTCAAGAAATCATTGCTAAATCCAATGTCATAAAGCTTTTCATCTATGCTTTTTCTAAGAGTTTTATAGTTTTAACTCTTACATTTATGTCTTTCATCCATTTTGAGTTAATTTTTGTATATGGTGTTAGGTAAGGGTGTTACTTGTGGATATCCTGTTTTCTCAACACTATTTGTTGAAAAGACTGCCTTTTTTGCCTTTCAGTTATCTTGGTGCCCTTGTTGAAAATCATTTGACCATGTATGCAAGGATTTATTTGTGGGCCTTCTATTCCATTGGTTTATATGTCTGTCCCTGTCAGTACCACACACTGTTTTGATTACTGTAGCTTTGCAGTAGTTTTGAAATCAGGAAGCGTGAGTGATTTCTTCCAACTTTTTTGTTCTTTTTCAAGATTATTTTGGCTGGTCAGGGTACATTAGATTTCGTATGACTGTTAGGATGGACTTTTTTTCTATTTCTGCAAAAGAAATATTGTTGGGCTGTCTCTTCATTTATTTATTCCTTCTTTAATTACTTTCGGCATTGTTTTGTAGTTTTCATTGTACAAATTTTTCATCTCCTTGGTTAAGTTAATTCCTACGTATTTTGTTCTTTTCGATGCTGTTGTAATTGTTTTCTTAATTTTCTTTTCAGATTATTCATTGTTAGTGTATAGAAATGTGACTGGTTCTCCTGTTGTGAGTTTGTATTCTGCTACTTTGCTGAATTTATTAGTTCTCATAGTTTTTTAATACAATCTAGGGTTTTTTCCATATGAGATCATATCATCTGTGAACAAAGATAACTTCTTCCTTTACAATTTGAGTGTCTTTTATTTCTTTTTCTTATCTAATTGCTTCGTCTAGAAATTGCAAGAGCAAGCATTTTGTCTACTTTGAGGAAAAGCTTTTAGTCTCTCACTATTGAGCATGATATTCACTGTGGGTTTTCATATGGGGATTTTATTATGTTGAAGTAGTTTCCCTCTATTTCTACTTTGTTGAGTGTTTTTATCCTGAAAGGGTGTTGAATTTTGCCAAATGCTTTTTCTGCATCAATTGAGATGATCATGTGATTTTTTTCTTTATTAATGTGGTGCATTCACATTGATCAGTTTTTGTATTGAACTGTCCTTTTACTGCAGGAATAAATCCCACTTGGTGATAGTGAGTAATCCTTTTAATACACTGCTTAATTCAGTTTGCTAGTATTTTTCTGAGGATTATTGCATCAATGTTCGTAAGGAATATCGATCTATGGTAGTTTTCCTTTCTTGCAGTGTCTGGCTTTGGTATTAGGGTGGTGGATTACGAAGTGTTGGCTGCTCTTCACTTTTTTGGCAGAATTTGAGAAAGATTTGTGGTAGTTCTTGTTTAAGTGTTTGGTAGAATTCACCAGTGAAGTCATTAAGTCCAGGGTTTTTCTTTGTTGGGAGATTTTTGATGACTGATTCAGTCTCCTTGCAAATTAATTACTTTTTGAGAAAAATATGAATTTGCTGTCCTTAGCTTGTTTCAGTTTCACGCTATAGCCAACTAACAGCAAAAAGGGGCACAATGAGAAAAGGGAGACATCATGGGCGAGAAATGGGGGAGTGTTGGGTATAGTAATGGGAGCCCCACCTGTGCCCCTGTGCACAGACTGTTACCTCTGGAGCATGGCCCTGAGGACTCGGCTCCGTGCTGCATCTTCGTCCTGTAACTTGAGTGAGGACGTGGCCTTACAGAGTTAGCTGTATCCAACCACATGGTTCCAAATGGCCAGGGTCAGCCCCGTACAGGGGCCTAATGAGTCTGACCAGCTGGCTTCCCTGATATTTTTCTCAGAATTGAGGGTCCTTGTTTTTTGGTGGTTGTTATCTTGATGGGGGCTTGTGGGCAGCCATACAGAAAGTTTGTCAAGCAGTTCAAACTCCGCCTGGGACTGCCACCTGCTCCCTTGACTAAAGGCTATCTTAGTGACTGGACAGTTTTCAGCTATAGGACCCGTTCATGTCCTCCAACCCACTATAATCCCTACCCACAGGATGCCATTTGCTGATGGGCCATGGCAGGAAACCCAGCCTGGGCACAGTCTGCCCTAGGCTGGGTTTCCGGCCTGGCTTGGTGGTATAAGGGCTTGTCTGCTCTGGGGTCGGACACAGCTGGCCTGGGGAAGCCCTGCTGCTGCAGAACAGTGCTCTGTTTATCAGGCAGTATGACCTAGGCGACAGCGTCCCATCTTGTACGTGAGGAAACTGAAGGTCACATCCAAAGTTTCCCACATGTAGCTGGGACTTCAAAAGAGTTGGGTGCTTGCTTCTGTGAGGATATTCTTTGTCTGGCTATTAGAACACGGTGGAAGACAGGAATCTTTGGAGTGATGGTGCCTGAGGAGCGTCTTTCCTCACAAAGTAGTGCCTTAGCTTGGAGCAGCCACTCACAGATGTTCTCAGTGATGCTGGGACTGAAGCCCAGGCCTGGGCACCTTAACAAGGGCACCTGGGCTGGGTCGGCTTTGCTCAGTTCCAGAGACCTGGGAGGCCTGGTGCTGCCGAGAGTCAGACCATCAGACTTGGGCCAGCCAGGCCCTTTCTGGGGAGCGAGTGAAAAGGTTTATGGGATGATACAGATCGAGGCTGGGATGACAATGAGAACCTGGGATCATTGCTGTGTGTCTGTTTGGAGCTCCTGGCTCTGCGTTGTCTCTCTGAGCTCACCTGGGGTCCAGCCGCCCACCCCCCGGCCCCAACCATCCCAGTGCTACCACCACCAGACAGTAGAGGTGTCAGTGGCAGCCAGTGTCTCTCCTCTGCTGAGAACACATTGCAAGCTTTGCAGATCCCTCTGTGGAAGCCTCAGTCCCTACTCTGCCGGGGACCCTTCCTCCCAGGGAGCCGCAAGCCTTCTCTCTTGGCTCATTCAGTTCTTTCTAAAACGCCACCTCTTCCAGGAAGCCTTTCTGAGCTTCCTGCATAATGTGGCTGACCCTGTACCTTCTTCCCATGCTCTCTTTTTCCTCCTTATCACATGGCTCCATTCAGTATACATTCATGGATTTATTTTATGTATGTCTCTCCCCCTGCTGGAAGTCAGCTTTTTGTGTTTTACCCACTGTTGCACCCCTGAGCCTCTCCTTGGTTGGCATGCAATCCATATTATTTAATAATAGAAAGCTTTAATGACAGATTGGTGGGGGACAGACAACCCAGTCCACATGGCACTGCCTGGTAGCAGAGAGGACTTAATGGTGTTGCACCCAGGGCAGAGCTTGCTGGGTGTGAACCGCTGCCCTGGCAGGTTCTGTTTGGTTCCATTTGGTGCTGTTAGGTTCTCTTCGGAGCTTTTCTGTGGGCTGCTTGTTGCTTCTCATTTTTTCCTGTCCCAGTGTGCTGATGCGGTTCCTCAAGCATTCAGATTCTGTTGGGAGAGGAGGTGGCTCTTTTGGTTTGATTTTATAAACCCATGGTGGTCACTTAATGGGTGGGAAGGGACTGGGGCTGGGCTACAGTGAGTGGAATGTGAGGCATAGGACTCAGAGTCTGGGTCCTACATTTCTCAAGGAAGGCAGAAGTCCCTGTGCAGGCTGGGCCCTGAGCAGTGGCCAGATCACTGCCTGCTCTGATCCTTGCCTTAAAAGCCAGGTTGAGTGATTGCTGGTGTGGCTCAGCTGATTGGGCGTTGTCCTGCAGACCAAAAGGACACTGATTTGATTCCCAGTCAGGGCACATGCCTGGGTTGTGGACCAGGTCCCCAGTTGGGGGCGTTCGAGAGGCAACCAACTGATGATGTTTCTCGTGCACATCAATGTTTCTCCCTCCCTTCCCCTCTCTAAAAATAAATAATTAAAATCTTTTTTTTAAAAAAAAGCCAAGTTGAACACCCAAGGACAATGGGGTGAATGGGTAGATACACCATGGCTTCTCACCGGACAGAGCGGTGAGAGATGGTCGTAGCCTCACACAGCTATGGAATAGGTTGTGGATATGATGCTGAGTGAACAAAGCCCGACCCCAAAGAGTGCTTCCTGAGTGATTCAGTAGTGCTCAGTTTCAGAGTAGGCACAACTAGGTGTGGGTTGAGAAGTCAGGGTGGTGGTCCCCTGGGGCAGGCATATGTGGGGCGCTCTTGGGGTACAGGCTCTGTTCTCTCTTGGTCTGCGTGCTGCACACGCAGGGTCTGGACCCTCTCCTGGCTGCAAGCTGCAGGCTGTCTATCAGCAGAGTGCTGCTGGGAGTGTGGTGGAATCGTTGGCCGTGGGCCGCTGCTCCATCCTAGGCTTTGCTTGTACCTCGTGAACTGGTATAGGTACCCTTTGCATCTGTGAGCACACTTAACAAGATGATTTCCAAGTGGGGGGTCCTCTATAAAGACACAGTAAGGGGGTAGACGAAGGCTCAGGGACAGTGTCTGATGAGTGACAGTTGAGCTGAGCCCTGACCGACGGGTGTAGGTGTGTCAAAATCAAGACCAGCAGGAATGAAGGGGAGCAAGGGGATAGGAAAAGGGGAGAGGTGGCACTTGGTGCCTTGGGGCCACTTCAGGGTCTTCCCTCGAGGGTGACTGTGCTGGGCCCTCAGCCAGAACCCCTGTGGCCACCCTAGTTGGTCTGAGGGCTTAGCCCTGTTTTTGTGGATGGAGCGCTGCAGGTGGAAGGGCAAGCGCCACAGCATGTAAGTCAAGGGCAGGGTCCAGCCCAGCCGGGGGCTCCCAGGGGCTCCGTCCCACCTTCTCACAGCCCCGCTGTTGGGCAAGTTCTGCTGCTCTAATTTGGGTACTTTGGTTCTGGCTCCAGCTGAATATCCATGTGGGGAACATCTCCCTGGTGGACCAGTTCGAGTGGGACATGTCAGAGAAGGAGAACTCTCCTGAGAAGTTTGCCCTGAAGCTGTGCTCGGAGCTGGGGCTAGGCGGGGAGTTTGTCACCACCATCGCCTACAGCATTCGGGGACAGCTGAGCTGGCATCAGAAGACCTACGCCTTCAGGTAGGATCACTGATGAGTCCCACTCTCTTTCCTCTTTAATCTCGTTTTGGGGGAAAAGATTTCTCCCTATGCATGGTGATGTCTCCGGGACTTTCTGGAGCTTTGCAGTGTGGTCTGGTCACGGGCGGCCTCGCTCCTTTTGCTGCCTCGGGTACCCCAGAGGCGAGGCTCCTCACCGCCATCATGGTGGGGGTGGCTCTACGGAGCTGGGGTGCCTGCGCCTTTGTTCTCCGCCCACCCCGCGTTGCCCTGGGCCGCACTCTGCTGCCAGCAGCCCTTCTGCAGCCTTCACACCCCTACGCCCCCCGCTCTCTGCGCCCTCGCCCACACTGTCTCTGTCAGGGGTGCATCCCCCAGGGCTCTCCATCTGGTGGACTAGCAGTCTGTCTCAAACAAGGGCTACTCGATAGCGCCCGCCCCGGCTCAAGCAGGGACTCCTCGAGCAGCTGCTTTTACTGTCGCACGTTGCCATCGTCAGTCAGAGGCGTCGGTGAGCACCCACGCTGGCTGGGCCCTGTGCGGGGTGCTGTGGAAGATAAAGAGCCGAATCAGGCTGCCTGTGAAGGTGGAAGTGTAAACACAACATTGCGGTCCAGTGTCCTGTGTGCTGGGCTGGGGGACGGAGCAGAGGACTGGGGCTCTTTGAGAGACGGACACGGCCTTCCCGTTGCTGTTGGCCTCCCAGCGTGAAGCACGGTCTGGCAGGAGGTAGGGCTTGGTGAGCGCTGACTGAGGAGTGGCGCCCGCCTGCCTCAGGACGGTTCCGTCATACCAGCCCCGATCCCCGAGCTCCTCTTCCATGTTTGGATGGTGTGTGTGTGGGAGGTGTGTGGTAAGTATCCTGCATCAAAACAGGATGTTAGGATTTATTCTGCTCATGAAACTGTCATCATGCACATGTGGTGGTCATTACTTAGGGACTGAAGCTTAAAATGCTGCATGAGGAGAAGTATGAAGATCTTTTTGCAAAGACATAACCATTAATGGGGCTCGTGAGTATGTTTGTATCTCAGCTGATTCTCAAAGAATTCCCAGGAGACAGCTTTCTTATGACTTCCTGTAAATCTGAGCAAGAGATGAGGAACGAATGTACACCCACAGGACTTGAGATTCCGGGCCTGGGAGACCAGAGTCCCGTGGTGGTCTGCTCCCAGCATCCAGGCTGAGATGGCACGTCTGTTACCTCCTGTAACCCCCCAGCCGTCCTGCCAGTGAGGTGATCCTGCTTCACAGACAGGGTCCAGGTCCAGAGAGGAGAGGGGAGGTGGCGCCTGGCCCACGCCTCCTGCTTCCTGTGTGAGGCCCACTCAAGGCCTGTCAGTGCATTTCTGCTCACTCTGCATCGGAGCCATGACCAATGGACCTCGGACCAGTCTGCGGTGGCCTTGCTTCCTGGAGCTGACCCTGAGGTCCCAGGAGGCGGTGACATCATGTAGGTCTTGAGAGTGACATTGACACCAAGTACCTCATTCTCCAGATGCTTATTGAGTCAGAACCTACTTGCTGACTGGCCAGTGTAGGGGTCGGGGTGTCATGCTGCTCTCGGGAGCAAGACCCTGAGGGTGTTGACACATGTGACACCATCCCTCCTGCTCTGATCTCTGGGTGACCCGAGCCGTCCGCCTGAAGTCCTTGTTAAGCCTCAGGACGCCAGCAGGGTGCCGAGTAGCTCCTGAGCAGGCGCCCAGTGGGAGCCCCTGGCGGTGGTGAGCTGGGACTTACAGGCAGATCCCTCCCTTATCTCAGCCACCGGTTAATGAACTCCAGTTTTGAGGGCAGGGAGCGTCCTAGACCTCCGTCCCACCTCAGTCTCTAGTGCTGAGTGTGCAGGTTTCATGTCCTTGGGGACCGGGGGAGCACATCCCCTCTGCATCAGCCTGGGCCAGCCAGGCAGGAGCGGCATCCCAAGTGCCTTTTGACATCAGGAGGACTGCTGTGTCCTCCCAGCTGACCAGGGCTCTGAGCCTTTCACGCGGGGCCCAGCCTGTTGGGCGTGCTCTGTCTGGTCCAGGCAGGCGGATGCTCTGAACAGAGCTGTCAAGGACAGGAAGGGCAGCCTTTGGTCAGGGCCGGCTTGTCACAGGCTTCATCGCCCAGGGGACAGAACTGCAGTGAGCCAGGGGAGTCCCATCTGTGCCCACAGACTGAGCCCCGTGCCTGGCTGCGGTGCCCTTCTCATCAGTGGCATTGAGTCGTGTTGATAGTAGAGCAGGGCAGGATGCCCCGTCAGGGGAACCGTGGCAGAGAACAGGCTGCCTTCCCTGGGCAAGCGGGATGGGAAGGCCTGATGTGGGTGAGCACGGGGCGGGGGCGGGGGGCGCAGGGGTGTGGCAGAGGGGTTGGGGGCCCCAAGCTCCTAGAGGACAGAGCTGAACCAGAGTGGCATGTAGGTGTTCTTGAGCCAGCGGGATGGGGACAAAGAGACAGTAACAGGAGAGGGATGGGGCTCCACCTGGGGGTGGGGCTGGGCTGGGCTGGGCTAAGCAGAGGATGTGAGGGGTCAGGCATTCACTGAGACAGTGAGCCACTACCTGTGAGGAGAGTTGCATCTAGCAGAGTTAACGGCACCTCCTTTGGGCCAGCCCTGTGCCCCAGGCTGGGGACGCGGAGAAGAAACAGTGCCCTAACAGAGGAGACTTGTATGTGTGGCCACTGAAGGTACCAGAGGCTGCACACAGGGAGGGATGTGGTTGGTGGGGGGTGTGGACCCTGGAGGGAAGCGGCCAGGGTAGAGTGCTGGCCAGGAGGAAGTCAGGACAGGCAAAGGCGTGGGATCTGGCAGCTGGGCCTGTTGGGGGACAGAGAGGCAGTGTTACTGGAGCAGCGCCAGAGATGGAGACACCTGTCACTTCGGACTAGTTGACCATGAGCCACTGGGGTTACTCCTAGAGTTCTGCCCACCTGCCCTGGCAGCGGGGTTTGCGTGTCAGTGTGTTTTGTAACAGCTTATTGACATATAATTCACATACCATACAATTCACCCATCTGGGGGGTACAATTCAGATTCAGTGGGTTCTAGTATGTTTGCAGAGTGCGGCCATCATAGTTTTCAAACATTTCCCACCCCACCCCCCTCTCCTTGGCATGTCCAAAGTGCCAGCATCACTACTCTTGCACTTTAGGGCCCTTGTAAGTAAAATAAGGGTAACTTGAACACTGGCACGGTGATACCATGGAAATTGATTGCATCACCAAGATGGCAACTATGCGACTAACAGGCTGGTAGCATATATTTATAACCGTGTGGACATGCTAAACAAAGGGATGATTCACATTCTGGACAGGACAGAGAGGGATGGTGTGAAATTTTACCATGTTACTCAGAATGGCATGCAATTCAAAATTTCGGAATTGTTATTTGTAGAATTTCCATTTAATATTTTCAGACCCTGGTCGACTGTTGGTAACAAAGGGGGACTACTGTATGTTTTTTTGTGGCTGGCTCCTTAGCATAATGTTTTCAAGCCAATCCATATGGTAGTCTGTATCAGAACTGGCTCCTTTTTGTGGTTAAATAATATCCCCTCATATCAGTACAGCACTTTTCTTTATCCATTCAGCAATTCATGGGTATTTGGGCCATGTCCACTTCTTGGCTGAGAATAGTACTGCTGTGGTCATTCATGTACAAGATTTTTTTTGAATACCAGTTTTCCATTCTCTTGGATATGTATGTAGGTGTGGAATTACTGGATTGTGTGGTAACTATGCTTAACATTTTCAGGAACTGTCAGACTGCTTTCCAGAGTAGCTGCACCGTTTTTCTTTCCCACCAGCAGTATGAGGGTCCCAGTTTCCCCACATTCTCACCAACATTCACCTGACTTTTTTATTCTAGCCAGCCTAGCGAGTGGGCGTGAAGTGGCATCTCATTGTGGTTTTCATTTACATTGCCCTAATGACAGATGATATTGAGCATCTTTTCATGTGCTGTTGTCCATTTGTGTATCTTCTTTGGAAAAATGGCTGTTCCGGTCCTTTGTTTTTAATTTCTTTTCTTTTTCTTTTAATTGAGTTTTAAGAGCTCTTCCTATAGCCTGGATACAAGTCCCTTATCAGACACATGATTTACAAATATTGTCTTCCATTTTGTGGGTTGTCTTTTCACTTGTGACAGTGCACTTTGAAGTACAAAAGTTTTACATTTTGATGCAATCCAATTTATCTATTTTTCCTTTTGTTGCCTGTGCTTTTAGTATCACACGTAAGAAACCATTGCTTAATCCAAGGTCTTGTTGTCCCAGCACCATTTATTATTAGAAAGACTGTTCTTTCCTCATTGAGTGGACTTGGCATCTTTGTCCAAGTCAGTTGATCTTTTTTCTTCTTTCCTGAAGTCAGTTGATCTTGAACAAGAGGCTGACATCAGGCTTTGTCCCTCCCTCCTCCCAGCTGAGCGGCTGTGGGCAGGTCATTTCCCTCTCAGTCTGCGTTCTCCCATTTATACGGTGGGCATGGGAGTGCTTCCCAACTGGTCTATTGTGTCATGTGAGATCCCATTGAAAATTAACCTGAAGATACTTTATAAGCACGTTGCCTCATACATGGCCTTCCCCGCCCAGGCTCGGGGTCTCCACCTGGACACTGGGGTGTTAGGGTCTTTGAGGCACGTGAATCACCTGGAGGGGTGGGAGGCAGGGTGGGTCTGTGCCTGTGTGTCCTCCCCCACCGTGGAGTCAGGCCTGCTGGCTCCAGGCCCCATTCTTGTTTTGAGCAGTTCTTATTTTAGAATAAACCAACTGGAGTGGAATCTTCCCAGGGCCAATAGGGATAAACAAATGGGCCTCAAGGATCCACCCACCAGCTCTTGTTTAAATTAAAGGGAAAACATGTTTTCTTCCCTTTGGTGTGGGCTTGGCGCCTTTCATGTCTGCCCTCCTGAGGAAGGCGGTTGCGGTCCCGTGGCCCTCGAGGTGAGGAATGATGTTTGGGTCTGTGGCTGGGTGGTTCCTGGATTGTCAAACCACTACATTGGTTGGAGAACAGCTGTCAGGGATATTTAGGAGAGGTTGGCCCCAGGGTACTAAGGGGTAGGGGCTGGTGCTGCTCAGTCACTGGTCTCTGAGTCACCAGCTCGAACTCAGACTCCTGGGCCTTGTGGGTGCGGACCCCCAGGCCCAGCTTCAGCAGCAAGAGGTGATCCCCACTTCCGCAGGGATGCCGCGGCTAGCTCTGGGCTGTGGTGCCAGCCTCAGCCTGCTCCCTGAGCTGTGTCGTGTACTCGTGATGGCTGAGACCCCAGTCCAAGAGAGCAGCATAGGGTGGCTGGAACAGACCCTTGTCTGTCCCATGCTGGCAGGTGTCCTGAGGAGTCAGGGCTCTGCAGTTAGGCCTGGGCGGTCATTCCTCTCTAGCCAACCTCTCATGGGACCTTGGGCACAGGCTTTGGGGATGCTGTGTAAGAAGGCTCCGGCCCATAGGGAGCTCCCCAGTGGATGTATGCTAGCTGCTTTAATAAGTGTAATCCTCGGAAAACCCCTCAGGCCAATAATCTCTTTCCTATTTTCCAGATGAGGTGTCAAAACCAAGGCCGCCCCACTGGGGGCCTATTTCATTTCATTCCATCAATATCCACCAGGCACCTCCCCTGGGCCTTGCCTGCCCTCTCTTCCCAGAGCTGACGGTGCTTCGCAGGGCCGCAGGCTTCCGATGCAGACTCCTGATGGGCTATGGTGGAGCAGGGCAGACTCCTGTGATGGGGCTGAGCCTCAGGAGAAAGGCGCAGCCGCCCAGCTGGAGGAGAAGGGGCCTGGGGAGGCTGGAGTGGTGATACGGGGAAGGGGTAGGGCTTCGCTCTGAGGCTTGTCTGCCAGGCCAGGGGTTTGGGCTGTTGCTCTGAAGGTGGGAGGCACACAGGCCCTCCTGGCAGTTGTGGCCCCCATGCCTCTGCAGGCTCCTGTCCCACAGACCTGGAAACCAAGGCTCAGAGAGGTAGCAGCTCAGCTTTGTCCTCCCTCCCTTGGTGGTCTGTCCACCCCCTACTTCCCCCCACCCTGCACCTTCATGGACTTTGTCCAGGCTGAACACCCCCCACCCCCACTGTTTCTACTTGGAAAGAGGATGTGTAGGTGGCCTTTGGGGTAAGGGACCCCTGGGTAGAGTCGTAAGGGGATGTGGGTTCGGGGCCCAACTCTCTGCTCTAAGCAACTAGTCCAGCCTTCCTGGAGCTTATTTCAACCCTGGTGAAGTGGGCTGAGGGGCAAGTGTGTGGAACATTTGGGAGCAGGCTGGCTAGGTGGACCCTCCGTGAGGGGGTGTCCAGGACTCTTGGCTGGCCCCCTCCTTTTGCTCTCCTTTCACCCTCCTCTACCTGTGGGTCCTGGCTCTGGACACTGAGCAGTGCAGAGTTTCCCCTTTCACCACCCTGGCAGTAACAGCTGGCTCAGCCACGTGTTCTGTCAAAGGAACCACCTCCCTAGCGAACGCCTGTCTTCAGTCTCCCAGAGGAGCACACAAAGCAGCAGCAAAGGGCCCGCTGCTTTGAAGGGAAGCCCAGGGTCATGGGGGCAGCACTGCTGTGGCCAAGGGAGGTGCTGGCATCTCTGCCTTGAGGCTGGGGTAACAGGGACATCCCAGACTGCCCCTATCAGGAGTGTTGCTCTAAGGAGCTGGGCATGGAAATGGGCCCAGCTGAGAGGTGGAGGAGGAAGCAGGAAAGGCTTGGACTGTATCACCATGCCCTGGCTCCAGCGTTCCAGCCGTTGGCCGGCAAAATAGACAGTGGTTTCTGGGGGTCTTCCCACCTGCTCTTCTGTGAACTAGCACTTTCTTCTCTTCCCGTACCCTCCCAGTGAGAACCCCCTGCCCACGGTGGAGATTGCCATCCGGAACACAGGAGATGCCGACCAGTGGTGCCCGCTGCTGGAGACCCTGACTGATGCCGAGATGGAAAAGAAGATCCGTGACCAGGACAGGAACACAAGGTACCCCCGCCCCTCAGATGCCTGCAGCTGGCTCGCCCACAGACACTGCCTTCCAGGCAGGCGTAGAACCATCGCCTTTCCCCAGTGACCCAGTTTCTTTGTGTCCTTCTGGGAGGGGACCTGTGTGCGTGTCCCAGGATGATGAATCCCAATCTAACCCCTAGGATACAGATTTCAAACCTTGCAGGGAACAAAAGTAAGCCCTTAGACTGCGTCTGACCCAGGTTAAGCTCAGACCCAGGTTTTGGGGCCCCTGATGAGGTGGGCAGGGCCTGAGCAGGCAGGCGAGAGAAGGGGCTGGGAATCCCACCTGCCTTGTCTCGTCTCTGTGTCCTCTCCCCTGGCCGCCCAAAGAGCCCTGGGGATGGCAGATGCCCAAGGCTTGGGAGCTGGCCCTGGCTCACCACCCTCTCCCCTCCTACAGGCGTATGAGGCGTCTTGCCAACACTGCCCCAGCCTGGTAACCAGCCCATCAGCGCTTGGCTCCCACGGAGCGTTCAGAAGACCGGCCTGCCTCTCCATCTTCCAGCAAAGAGGGAGGCAAGGGGGCACCCAGGGCCGTCCTGAGCAGCACGGGCACGGAGGCCTTCCAGGTCGCCCTCCCCCGGGCACACTTTCCATTTGCTGAGCCCTAGTCCCCACCACCCCAGTCTCTGGTCAAGAAGAGGCCTCATTTTGGGTTGTGTTTTGTTTTTGTATAGGAGCCCCAGGCAGGGCTAGTAACACTTTTTAAATAAAAGGCAACAGGTCATGTTCCATGTCTTCAAAGTGGTAGCATAAAAATAAGAATGGAGGAGAGCAGGGCGCTGGTCCTGTTGGGGTGGTGTGGCCAAGGCTGGGAGCCCAGCCTCACCCTGCTCTGCCTCAGATCCCCAGGTGCTGACAGGGCTCCAGCCCCAGTAAGATCTGAGTTAGAGTGGAACCCTTGCTTTTTGTTGGGCGCTCCAGTCCTGCACCACCAGCACCGGTGCTTGGATGTCTTTGTAGAGCGGGAGAAATGATAGGTGTGGTCATGAGGCTCAGAGGGCGGGGGAGCCCAGGCCCAGTTGCCCTTCAGTGAGCTCTACCCACTTTTCTTGGTCTTGTGGAGCAACCTGCGGCTCTCGGGCTATCCCTGCGCTCTGCCGGGCCAAGGGAATCAGGCTGTCCTTGCTGGGAGCGCTGCTTCTCTGGAGTTCTGCATAGGCCCCGCCCTACTGTGCAGACACTGCAGGGGCATCAGCAGCCTGGGTGCCTGTGCCCGGCTCTGCCAGCTGCAGCAGGTGTGCGGCACTCTCGGCACACCTCCCAGTCGTGCACGTGTGGCTGGCACATGGCCAAGGCCAGCTCCTCCCTCCCAGGCTGGTTGTGAGGAAGAACACATGCAGAGCAGCACACCTGGCCTGGTGCAGGCCTACGGGGAGGCGTTGTGTGTGGGAGAGGCACAGCCCTGGGCCTCTTCCCAGCTCTGCCTTCAGTGAGCTTGCCATCACCTCTGCATCCTCACCCAATCTGTTAACACAGGGATGTTCCCGCTCCACAGAAGGGACATGTATGGGTCTCGCTAACTCAACCGCTACTTGGTGAATTGGGCACACAGCTGCACTTACTGAAGATAACAGACCCAGACCCCCAGCACTGGGCTGGTGCCACCTTCAGTTGCTGGCAGGTCCTTCTCCAGCCAGGGCAGGGCTGAGGGTCAGGACTGCTGTGCTCCCTGGGAGTTTGACGGGGGCCCCGTGGCATCTGGTTCCTAGCCTGAGTAGGGATTGGGGTCCTCCATTGCGAGGACATAGGGTAAGATGGGCCTTACCATCTAGGCTGAGGGCGGGGGGTCCTGTGAGCGTGTTCAAGGACATAAAAGCTCCCAGGGGATTTGTACTCAGGCTCCTACCCTTCATCTAGGAGTGGAACTTGCTGGAGCAAGGGGCCAGTGGGGCTTCATTGGAGGGCCGTGACAAAGATTCTAGGCCCACGCCGTGTTGGCCTTACAAACTAGTGGGCTCCATTGGCAAGGTGTTTACTTGGTCTGTGGGGCAGGAGACAGCCCTGGGGCTCCATAACTGGGGGGATGGAACACACGCTGCCTGCCCTGTCCCACTGGGCAGGTCAGCCACCTGCCTGCAAGAGCCTGTGGAAGGGCCAGCACACCAGGCCCAGGTCTGAGCCCACACTGATGCAGGGTCAGCTGCTGCTTTGCAAGGCTTCCTTACAAAATTAAGGTGTACGCTAAAGCGAATATGTTCGTCATCTATGAATGTGACAAGCACTGTGCTATATTGACTGTCGAGAAGAAACCATAATGCAGACTGGTCTATGGCAATAAGGAAAGCTGGCCAGGTCATCTGATGCCCACTTTACAGAGGAGAAGTGAGCTGTGGAGTCGGATAAGGCACCTGTGGTCCTCAGCTAACAAAGGCAGGGACAGGACTTCCCAGGGTTCTCGGCCTCAGCCAGTGGAGAACTGTGCTAAGGTGAAAACTTTTCAAGGCTTTGGAGTCACAGGAAGGACAGAGGACCCAGTCCTGGCTCTCCTCTGCACCTGACCCCATGGGGCCTTGGCCATGTCTTAGTTGCTCAGCTGGAAAATGTGACAAAGGTCCACTTGTTGGTTGTTGGTAAGGCACAGGAAGGGCTGAGTGAGGCATCAGCTGCCGGTAGGAGCTTGTGCCCCAAGCCCCACAAAGACCAGGCTTGACACAACCAGGGACAGCTTGTGTTGGCCCCTGCTACCAAGATCTGGCCAGCCCCCTCTCTGGCAGAGAGCAGAGGCCCCACACAGATGGGATTTGTCCAAGTTTCCACTGAGGCCCCGGAGAGCCTGGGATGAGAACCCCTTGACTGCCATCTGTGAGCTCAAAGCTCTGCGTGGTAACTGTGGACGGGTTCTTGACCTCTCAGCCTCCCATCCTGTCACCTACAGTTGGTCTGAGAGGGCAGTCCAGGGCAGAGGGTGGGCAGGGCGAGCCAGGCTTGATGGCCCTAGGTTAGGACCAGCAGCACCTGCGCAGCATGGAAGGGTGCGGCTAGGTGAGGCAAGGGGAACCAGTGCTGTGGGCAAAGAGGCTACAAATTATTCTGTTTATTTGGGTGGAAAGCCTCCAGGACAGGTTGCCATGCTGCAAGTAGGGGTTAGGGATGGGATGGAGACTTGACCGATACTGGGGAAACAGCCCCCTGGGGCTGGCCTTGGGTGGGGTCACTGCTGCAGGGGTCCTGGCTGTTCTTCAGGGAGGGGCAGGTAATTGGGATCCTCTTCTGGGGCATCCAGGAGCAGCTTCCTATGGGGAGGAACCCAGGCTGAGCTGAGGCCCGCATGGGTCCCCCAGGGAGTCGAGAGCTGTCTGAGGGAGAGTAGGGGCAGGGTGTCACCTCCAGTACTCACAGGAAGCCAGGGGTCAGCAGTAGCCTCTTGCCTCCGGGCTGGTTGGGAAAGACATCCTCCAGGAAATAGTAGATGTGTCCCACAGCAATCCCTGTGGGAGAGCCGAGGACTACCAAGGCCACCCTCCCTCCTTGGTCTGGAGCCCGGGGCCAACACAGCCTGCTCTGGGCCTCCATGTGCAGCCCTGGAGGCCTAGCCAGGCCCAGGGAAACCTCAGGCCTCAGTGCATGAGTGCCCAACGTTCTGTACAGCCTGGCAACCCAGGATGGGGCTGGGGTTGGCCCTGAAGGAGTATTTCAGGACCCAGGACCTGGGAGGGGAGGATCTGAGAACATCAAAGGAGTGGGGGCAGCCATGGCTGGAATGCTGACATACCTATCCCCAACCTAGTCAGGACCCACACAAACTTCAGCAAGTGAGGCCTGGAGGTGTGAAGCCTGTAGGCCTGCTGGCTTGTTCAAGGGGCTATAAGAACAGAGATGCAGGGGCCGAGGTGTGGGGCGGGGGGTGTGGGGGCGGGGTTGGCACACAAATGAGGTCCAGTGTAGGTAAGAGGGAGGGCTCCTGCAGAGCAGCCAGCTTGGGATGGACTGGCTGGCTGAACAGGCAGGCTCACCCAGCAGGTCCACGAGGATCGAGTTGCCCAGCAGCATTGAGAAGCCCATGAGTGCCCAGGGCAGGAATGGCGCCTGGAAGGTGAGGAGGCCGAAGAAGTTGACCCTCACCTGAGGGCTGCGGCGGCTCCACACATACACCAGCATGGCTGTGAGGGCCTGGCCCAGGAAGAACAGGCTGCCCAGGAACCCCAGCAGCTGGGCCAGAGTCAAGGTGCTAGGAGGCCCTCCTCTGGTGGAGGCCTCAGTGCCTGCCCAGGGCCCGCCTGACTTGCTAAATCCCTGCAATCCTACTGGTTTCCCTACCCTCGCCTAGGTGTGCCCTTCCCAATCTAAGGCCATATTGTGGCCTTCAAGCCCTCCGTGACCTGCCCTGATTCTCCACCTCACCCCAGCCTCCCACCATTGTCCATCCTTGCCCAGGTTTTTCCTGCTGCTGGCTTTTAGGCCTCAGCCCCGAAGCACCCCACCTGGCTCTCCTTCACATCACCCTGTGGTTTTGTGTTGTTTTTGGGGGGGCGGGGGGTACAACCCTGAAGATCTAGCCCTGGTGCCAGGGGCTGAGCACACAATACTCGCTGAATACACCCTAAGCTAGAGTCCCTCCCAGCCTGGGCACTTGTGTTGTGGCCCAGGACCCACGAAGGTTGGATGCAGAAGGGCCGGGCCTGAGGTTGCAGAGCCTGGGAAGGATACAATCATGAGGACTCCCCCAAAGAGAAACATGAAGACGAAGTCAGCCTTGCGGCCACGGAAGGAACCCTCCTCCAGCATGCGGCAGTAGCGGAACCTGTGGAGTCCGTATAGGAAGTGCCAGCGCGCAGGGCCTCAGTTTCCCGCTCCCAGCCGTCTTAGCCCGGCAGGCCCGCCCACTCCCCGCCTGGGTCCGTGCAGCACAGGATACACGAAGAGCATGTTGAAGAAGAAGCTGAATCCCAAGGGCCCGAAGAAGAGGAAGTTGGTGAGAAGCCTCCAGACCTGAGAAGGGCAGGCGGTCAGGCGCGGGGCCTACGGGGCTGGGCCGTCAGGTGCAAGGGCAGGGTGGCCTCACCTGGAACTTCCGGAACACGAGGTGCGGGTTGAAGTAGAGCTGGAAGGGGCTAAGGAGCTCCAGCTGCTGCGGAGCCAGGGGTGCGTCAGGTCTGCCACCGGGATCCAACCTTAACCTGGTGACCACCCCCCCCCCCCGCCGCCCACCCTGGGCTGTAACCATGGTGACTCCCCACCCGCCCAGTAAGCTCACCACGGCGGCCGTGGTGAGGACGCAGGCCGTGGTGTAAGCCCGCGTCACTGCCGGCACCTGAAGAAACTCGGCCGCCAGCCCCTGCCACGCCATTGAACCTTCTCAAGCACGCGTGGCCCCTACTCCTGCCAGCTCTTTAACCCGCCTCCAAGCCCCGCCTCTCCACCTTCGGCCAATCAGCGTGGGAACCGATTTGTGCCCGGGCAGGGAGAGGAGCCTGGGGCCAGGTAACCAATAGGAGGAGGAAGCGGGAGCTGGGGGGAGGGGCGGAGACGTGGGCGGGTTAAGCTTTGGGGCCAATGAGCTAGCCCCGCAGTTGAGCACGTGGCGGTTGTTGTGATGGCAGCGGTGGCGGCGCGGGAGACCGTGCAGCCAATGAGGAACTGACCGCTTCGCGGCAAGCTATAAGGACGACCAATAGGGAGGACCCACGGGGCCACTCTGTGCGTGGGGCTAAGATTACTCGTCAGTGGAGACTTGATCCAGGCACAACTGAACTGGAAGCGACGGGGACTTGTAGTGTGGGCGGGGCGGGGCGGGGCGGGGCGGGGCGGGACTCAGAGTCAGGCTGTGCAGCTCCGTGCGTCCACCTTGGGCAATCCTGCTCGCCTCTGAAAAC